GTTTTTTTTGTTGTTGATCTTTTGTTTGTCTTGTGAGTGGCAGTCTTAGATAGTTTCAGTTGTATTATTGTATTTGCTTGTGACAAGTTGATGAAAAAATTGAATTCCTTGAAAAGCAAAATGGAACAGTGGAACAGACACATGAATTTTGATTTGGTTTTTTGTTTTTTCCCTCCTCCCAGCTGAGTGACGGACGTTCCTTCGAGGCGCGACTGCGATTCGACACGGAGGTCGAGCTGACCTACTTCAGGCACGGCGGTATCCTCAACTACATGGTGCGGCGCATGTTGTAGGTGGCAGCACGTTCTACTGTGTTGTAGGTCACAGCACGTTTAACTGTGTTGTAGGGCGCAGCACGTTTTACTGTGTTGTAGGTCACAGCACGTTTAACTGTGTTGTAGGTCGCAGCACGGTCCATCGCTGTCTTTGAAACAGGAGGAGGGAGATACGGTTTTGGTGCCATTTGCGACGGAAGCAGGCTGTGCTACTACTACTGGGGGTTTTGGAGCCGCTGTGAATTCTTCGTTTGTTTGTTGTGAGGTTACCATCGCTGCGTTACGTTCCTCTGTTGGTTGTGAAGGGGAAAGAAAGCATTTCGGCTGCTCAGCGTAAGACCCTTGGTCATACTCGTGCGTCACTTTTCAAAATGGCGTATGGCGTCATATTCATGTGTTACTTTTCAAAATAGCTTATGGCGTCATACTCATGTCACTTTTCAAAATAGCGTATGGCGTCGTACTCCTATATATGTCACTTTTCAAAATGGCGTTTTGCGTCAAACTCATGTCACTTTTCAAAATGGCGTATGGCGTCGTACTCGTGCGTCACTTTTCTAAACGGAGTAGGAAGGAGTTTTACGCTAAGCAATTGAATCAGAGGAAAATGAGATGTTGAATAATATGTACAGGAGGTTGATATTTTCAGCCAGAGCTAAAGGATGAAACGTTATTCCCTTTTTTTCCATCCGTTGATTCAGAAGGGGAGAAAATTTTAGAGGAGAGGGAAAAAAAAAAGAGTTAAATATCTATAAGAGGTTGCTATTTGCAAGGATGAAATTATATTCTTTGTGAATAGCACATGGCAGAGAACGACCTTGAATGAACATAAGTTGGTGAGGAAAAAAAAAAAAAAAAAAAAAGATCAAAATCTGTTGCAGTACAAGGAGGGAGGGGAGGGGGTGTGCACAGAAGTAGTCTATGCATCTGTCAGACCACAGACTGATATAATATTCCTAGACTGCAAACTGTCGTGGCTTCCGCTCTTTGATCTCTATAAAAACTTCACTGCCAAGCGTGCGCTCTACGGGCCGCGCGCGCCATTACGCACAAATAACAGGCAATACACCACAGTCTGGCTATAATAAAAGGAGTGCGCATCGTACCTTTCTCCGTTGACCTTTATTTGGCTCACATTGAGTCCAAATGTTTCGGCTTTATCGTGAACTGGATATATACGACAAGAGAATGCATGGTCTAGGATTTTATTATAAGTAGAAGTCTATGGGTTTGACTTTGTCACACTTTATGATTGTTTGGTGGTTAGTTATTTATGAAAACACAGATCTTGTATGTTTCATGTGTGTTATAAGAAATAATAATAATAATAAATTGCATTTATATAGCGCATTTCCACAAAGAAGTGCTCAATGCGCTGTGTGTGTTAGACTTGTTCAGAACACAGAAGTATTTATTTCATGTGTTAGTAAATTTGGTGACTTGTTGAGCCAGCCACCTCCCAACCAAGAAATCCCCCACAGCCTTGGATTTTTCTTACTCCTTTAAAAAAAATAATTTTTTTAAAAAGTTTTGTTTTTTCCTTCCTTCGTTTTCGACAGATGATGGATGGAAGCAGCGTTTCCTCTACTATAACATAACCAGAAAGTGATATAACTTGTCTCGTATTTTGTGGACGTTTTGGTTCAGATAGTATCGGGCATTCTTCTTCTTCTTCTAGCGTCATGTGTAATGTGTAGGGAAAAACATACGTGGTGCTGACACGGAATGAAATATTGATATATATATATATATATATATATATATAATGTCATAATGTCATGTGTATGTATGTATTTGTGTGTGTGTGTGTGTATCGGTGCAGTTGTTCATTCACTTCCTAAGAAATGTGGTGTCTTCTGAATGATTTTTATTCTTACTATCTTGCTATCTTGGACGTTTTTTTAGGCAGTTTTGTTTTGTTTTTGTGGCTTTTGTGACAATCAGTGTTGTGTGTGTGCGTGCGTGCGTGCGTGCGTACGTACTTGTGCGATGCCCATTTCTTGTCGTCGGTGTGTCCTGTTGAAGAATGAGTTCAAAAAGGTTTTGTCCTGTTGGTTGTCGGGTGGAGGGGGGTGGGGGGGGATGTTGTTGCAGATTGGTTTGGGGAGGTCGTGCATGTGTGTAAATCGTTGGTCTTGGTTACTTTGAGCGGGAGTTCAAAGGTCGGTTTGTTCTAACTTAACGCTGAGCACCGCAGTGCTGAATTTATTTTGTGTGGAATGTTGGTCTAGGCAAAAACTTTGAGGGAGAGTTCAAAGGTCGGTTTATCCTTGAGGATGTAGCGTAGTGCGGAATTGATTTTGTGTGGAATTTTGGTCGTGGCTATTTCGAGCGAGAGTTCAAAGGTCGGTTTGTCTTTGAGGGGGGGGGGTGTAGCGTAGTGCAGAATTGATTTTAGTTTTTGGATTCCTCTTTCGTTGCCACTAACTTGCGTGTCATACATGATAATATGAGCTTCCATTTTAAAAGGGGGGGGGGTTCAGTTTGCATTTGTTTTGTCGCTGTAGTGGTTTTTGTTGTTGTTACTGTTATCAAGTCAAGTCTTAAACAAACTGCCCAGACTGCCGTGGTTTTGGATGTATATTTTTTTAAACTTTTCCGATCCAGCTGCCATATGGGTGGGTTCTCTAGCCCTTCGGTCTGTCGATATGGCAAAGAATTTACAGTTTTTCATCAGCTGTGCTTTGTTTTGGATGTATTAGTACCGAAAATGTATTGTGTATTATTAGTAGTATTATTACCGTATATATGTTGGTGAAGTTGCTTGTATCGATGCTCGCGTATTGTGAATACATAAGGGCTGCTGTTTTTGGAGGGTGGAGCTTTTGCTTGTTTATTTATTTATTTTATTCATCCATCGGTGTGTCGTCCGTCTATCAGTCTGTTCGTCTGTCGTGCGTGTCTCTGTGTTGGGTTCGCTAGGCAGGAGAGACAGAGTTCTGTGTATAATTATGTTAATTGTATGTGGACAGGTGGAGTTTAAGAAACCCCTCCTCCTAAATTATCTAAATTGTGTCGATGGGGGGAGTAAAATCACTTTGAAAAAAAAATGTTTTTTTGGGGGTCATGTACCCTCAGTGGAAGGCTTTTGATGAATTATGTGCGTATGTTAGCATGTCGATGTTTATATGTGCGTATGTTAGCATGTCGATGTTTATATGTGTGTATGTTAGCATGTCGATGTTTATATGCGTGTCTGTAAATGCGTCACCACTTATGGGTGTATGTCAGTGCATTGCCAGTTATGCACATTGGTTAATGTGTTGCTATTTATGTGTGTTGTTAGTGAGTCGTTATTTATGTGTGTAAGCGCGTCATTATTTATGTGTGTGTGTAGCCAGGGATGGCGGTTGTCCACAGAATATCCAGCACATCAAAATGTTCATACCGTAAACCCGTTGTTCTTGTCGTTGGTGTATAAAGACGGAAAATAAATTTGGGCAAAGTGAAGAGACTTGGTTTTGTTTCTGATTTCAAATTAGAAATAAAACACCAATTTTGATTTTGGGCTATCAGGCCTTGTGCCTGCTAGCATGTGTGTGTGTGAGAGAGAGAGAGAGAGAGAGAAGGGGGGGAGAGAGAGAGAAGGAGGGAGGGGAGAGGGAGAGGGGAAGGAAGGAATATCAAGCTAACATCCCTTACTGCAAATATGCAAATTTGAAATTATATAGTGATGGGTTGAAATCCTAGTTGATGATATGCTCAATGTACATTCATCCATCATTCAGACTTGCTTGATTTTTCTCAACAGATCTGTTAGTTAATTTGCCCTTTGTTTGTTCTAGAAAGTGTAGCTTGTTGGGTTTTTTAGATTTTTAAATTAAAATGTAATTGTTTTTAATGCCCCCATTGACACAATTTAGATCATTTGGGAGGGCGATTTCCGACCCTGCCTGTCGCGGCCAACTGGGGCTGAGAGAGATAGAACATCGGAGCAGAAGGACTACGACACTCGGTAAAACTATTCTCCCCTCTTGGGAATCGAACTCGGGCCTCCGTGGGTGGCTGGCGGGTGCTCTGGTGTGGTTTGCTTCTTAATTCTCTCCTATCAAACATCTATCGTCCTTATTAAATCTCTCCTCCTTCTTTTTTGTGTTTGTTGCTCTCTTGTAGCACCTCTAATCTTCGGCACTTGTATGACCTTTTTGTGTTGCAAGTGCCGTAAAACTCTTACTAAAAATGTTTTGTTTAAAAACCAAAAAAAATCTCCGGCCTCCTGCGTGCGACAGCAAAGTGCTGACCCACTACACCACAGGCAGGTTACTAGTATAGTACAGATTATTTGTCGAATCTAATCTGAATCTGATTTGGAAATCTTGACATGGTGGATCGGAGGTAAAGACCAGGGTAAAGACCTTGTTGAGGTCTGCATTCTTTGGTTCAGTAAGAGTTTTGCAACACTTGCAACAAAATTAATATTAGTAGATCTAGGTCGTATAAAAAGTGCCGAAGATTATAAATAGAAGTGTTCCAAGAGAGTAACAAATACCAAAAAAAAAGGAAGAGAGATGAGGAGGATAGATGTTTAATAGGATAGGAAAGAAGGGGCAAACCATACAAGAGCACCTTCCAACCACCCATGGTCTCCATTCACGAAAACACGTCTTTCACATATAAACATAATAATAATAATTGCATTTATATAACGCATATCCATGCTCAAGAGCACGCTCTAATCGCTTTACAACTATTATTACCCCAGCAGACCCTCCGAGAATATTCAGAAACATTCTCGGCTTCCGCGGAAGCATACACTGCAAGCTGCGGATTTCACGCGCTCAAACACTATCAACAAACTGACAAGATCTTTCACTGTCTATAGCTGGGTAACCATTTCCGCCTGGGTGAAGTGAGGAAAATTTGTGCAAAGTGCCTTTCCCAAGGACACAACGTCGGGCCCCTGACGGGATTTGAACCCACGACCTTACGGTTGTGAGTCCGAGAGCCTAACCACTAGGCCACCGACGCCACATGCGACGTTATGGCTTCCCCTATGCTGGCAACACAGAGAGTGGAGACCTTCGATAGAGCGTAGTAGTTAGTAGGTCAAGTAAATTCGGAATGGAGAGCTCAACTAGACCTTAACAGTACAGCTAAAAAAAGAAAGGAAAGTACTTTAAAGTTAAAGAAGGCAAATGTGCATGGTTGAAAAGAAAAAAAATGAAACCATTATTTAACCAAAAATGTTATTAGATATATATATATATATATATACATACATATATATATATATATATATATATATATATATATATATATATATATATATATATATATATATATATATATATATATATATATATATATATATACACAGTATTCTTTCACCAATATCAATACTCCGCATTATTTTACCAACAATAACACAAAGCATTATTTCACCTTAAATAATACATGGTATTATTTCAGGCCATCTGCTGGTGAAATTTCTAAAATCCACATCCTTTGACTAAATATAGCAACGATGATATATTTATATTAGTCAAACATCAAAGAATAAATTCAAGTAATTATTTATTATTATAAGCACATAGTAACCATGGTTACCAAGCAAACGTCCGCCATATTGGATAATTTCATCAAATTTCAAAAGCTATCTTCTCTCTTATTTTTACTCTATTGGCTTTCATTTTTAGTAATTACAAACTACAACACCTGTGTAATGAACAAATAACGCCAGATTTGTAATATTACAATTATGAAAATAATTATGGACTCTGGAAATATGTACTGTGGACGAATAGCAAAAAAACTCAAAATTCCCAACAAAAACACTGATTGTAACTTTATTTTCTTATCTTCAAAAAAGGCTCTATTTCAGTAAAGGTCACCTATGGACGCACCTATGAAGCCATTCAGATGAAAACTAATGGAGAAGGCGTAATTTGAAGTCGCGGGGGAAAAGAAATATTTGAAAAAAAATGAAGAAAATATTTAAAAATATGACGCAAAATAGCTAATTATTTTAAAAAACCCATTTTTACATGACTTCTAAACATAATTGATTGAAATGGGCGCTTGAAACTTCGGGGGAAATGGACGTAAGTTTCGAAAATGGAGACAAAAAATAGCATGGTCAAACTGGGTAAAAATGGGGGAAATTTCACTCGCAGATGGCCTTAAAAATAGCTCAGCATTATTGCACCAAAAGTAGTACACAGCATTATTTCACCTAAAACAATAATGCAAAGCATTGATTCATCAAAAATAATACACAGCATTTTTTCACCAAAATTAAAAATAATTATTTCACCAAAATAATACATGGCATTATTTCAACAAAAATAACACAAAAAGCATTATTTAATTTAAATTATTTCACAAAAAATAACAATCAGCATTAATTCACCAAAAATATCAGAGCCTGTGGTGTAGTGAGTGATTAGGAGTTTCGCTGCCACTCACCCATAAAAGACCTGAGTTTGGTTCCTGAGTGGGGCAAATTTATATAGAGTATCTTGGTCTTTCTGCTGGGATTTCATATATATATATATATATAAACGGATATATATATATATATAGATACGTATATATATATATATATATATATATATATATATATATATATTGTATCCCTCTCAACCTGGGTTAGTTAGTTTTAGTAGAGGTTTTACGGCGCTCGCAACTGCATAAGGTCATCATATGAGCGCCAGAAGATTAGAGGCGTTACAAGAGAGTAACAAAACATAAAAAAGAAGAAGGGGAGGTAAGGACGATAGATGTTCGATAGGAAAGAAGAAGCAAACCACACCAGAGCACCCGCCCACCGCCCACTAACCTAGGTTAGCTGCGACAGGCTGGGTTGGAAGCCCGCCTCCTAAATGACCTACATTATGTCAACAGGGCCGTGAAATCACTTACATTATTTTTTTTTAAACTAACGACTGAAAGTTTTTCACAAAACATTGGCAAACTGCCAGCCCCACCTCCTCCCCGACCCCTCTTCTTTTAATAAAAAGACAATAAAAGTACAATAGATTTTGTTTAAAACACAAAGCCGTTTAACACAAAAATTCCTTTTACCATTCATAAAAGAATTTCAAATCCCAGATTCCCCTCCCCAACCTTTTATTCTATGCATTGCAACGTCCGTTACCATGAAATCTGCTTAAATAACTTAAAACCCCAAAAATCGCGTGGAGTTTGTGCGGGTGCATTGTTAGCTTAGTTAGTTGGAATCATCATGCTGGAGTTAGAAGCGGATGGCTGTGGTTCCAATCCCCCAAATGGCGTTTTGAACTTAAGTTTTTCCGGGGAGCTGGCTGAGGCTCTCTGCCCATTTGGCTCAATCATCCGAGAAATGTTACATTCCTGTCCCCGTGGTTTTATGCACCCCGCATAATCTAGCAAAATTTGATCATTTTTTTGCATAATTTCTGATTATTTTCCTTTATCATTCTTTGTTAAAATTAACAGAATCGCATAATTTCACATTTTTGGGCTCAGTTTGCATAATTTCAGAATTTTCTTTTGCATAAAACGATGGGGACAGGCATACGGAAGTGCACAAACGGTAGCTCTATAATAGTTTGGTTTTTTTAAAACTGGGAAATGATGGTCTGGAACAAGTTTTAGAGAGACAGAGGGATAAGGATTTTCTCGTGGTCAAGCAGCTGCTTGGATACGAATATTCTCGTAGCAACGAATTAAATATAACCATGCAGTCATCGCCTCAGAACTATTTTGTCGCAAACCTCGGCTATACTGAAGAAAATCCAGTGGTCTGTCAGATTTCAGTCCGCCAACTCCAATATAGTTTGTTTGAGTAAAACGAAAAACGTCGTCACAATACTGGTTATTCAGTGCTGGGAAAAAGCAAGACATGCAGACAGAAACAACGGAAGCTTTAAAAAAGAAATTATAATTATAAGGATTTACCCCTGACAACGTTCCGAAGAAAAATGAGAAGTGAAAAATACTTTTTAAAAATAAATATATAAAAAAAATAAGTGCAACTGATTACAAGAACATAATTTGTTTTTCTTTGGTGCCTCTGAATAGTATTAGTAGTAGTTGTAACCCGCGCCACAAGGTTGAGCATAATATCACACATTGTCAGCTAGCTGTTAAAATGCACTATCCAAAAAAACCCAAATTATACAGGACAGAGCAACAAAAACTGTTTTATTCTTTTTAAAGCAACTGTACCGACATAACACATTTTTTCACGCTTTCTTTTTTTTTTCAACCTTTAGAATTTGAAATTTCAACAAAATATTTTTTTGAGCACTTGGCAACAGATATCACAGATTCAGAAACTATGATGAAACAAAAATTCAAAACTTTGAGATAAAGTACATTTTATCAGCTGACTGGCGACATTCATGGTGTCCCAAAAGTCGCGCACCATCCCAAAAACCCTCTTCAAAGACAGAAACCGACGATTTGAAGGAAGCACTAACAATGAGAGTGATAAAAGATCACACCTGTAACTCCCAAGCGTATACCGGTATAAGACAGTTGTCTCGAGAGAAACACATTAACCTTTCCCCTTTTGTTCAGACTGTGCATTCATATATATAAATAACATTTTCAAACTTCAGTAAAATCTAACAACAATTAAAGACACAGTAAACAAAATAATGAACCAACCTAATTTTTTCTAGTGTCTCAATTTTAATTCAGGATTCTAGGGAGGTATGAAAAAAAAGAATTCAGGGTTTTAAGAGTTAGCACAAAATGAGAGAGAGATTCTATCCTGTTCTATTGCTGAGGGAGCCCAACTGAAGCGCTTTAATTAAAATTAAAAACTAATATCAACCAAGCTGTTTTTGGTGAAAACCAGGATGATTTGCAACCTTTGGTACACCCTGTACATTATAATTATTCTATGTGTAACAAAACGGTGGAACCAGGCTCTCGTCAGTTCTTGGGCATGTAGCATTATTGGTATCATCTTAAAGCTAGTTCAGTTATTTTGCTTTGGATGAAAAAAATATTTATTTATTTATTTTGAATACAAGTTGAGATATTTTTGCAAATGAAGGAGGTGGGGGGGTCACCTGGTTCCAGAGGTAAAATTAGTGAGAAAATGGCCGCCAAAGGTTAGTTATTCCCTTAGCTTGAGAGTCCGTGGACACTGAAAATTGACGTTTTTGTGCCTTGAACAACGTTTTTCAGTAAAATCCATAAATAACTAAATGTGTCTTTTAATGGGCGTGAAAGGTATTGAGCCAAAAAAACAAAAATTCAATAAAATTTCACAAACCTGCAGAAAAATGTGAGTTTCTTCACTTTGATTATTTTGACGAGCGCCTGATTTCACCACGCTGCCTCACAGATATAATATATGTAGTCCACTGACCCACCAATAAGGGCCACAACTCTCCCCCTCCAATGGGGTGCCTTTTCCGCACCACAACCTCAGGTCTTGGTCAACGCCTCGATACTTTCCTCTGGGGACACGTTCAGACCAGAGGTATGGTCAAGTCGGGGAATGATGTGAATCTGTGTGTGGGTGGGGGTGGGGGGGGGCGCATTACGTACATACGAACGAACGAATGCACGCATGTGTGACATCATAAACCAGACAGGACCTCCTCGACTGCGTGAGCAAAGTCCGCACACACTCTGTGGGGAGGGGGAGAGATCTTGTCCTGGTCACCGTCTCGGTACTTTCCTGGGGACACGTTCAAACCAGACGCACGGTCAAATAAAAATATAATTACAATAATAATAATAATAACAACAATAATAATAATAATAATAATAACAACAATGATAATAATAATGATGATGATGATAATAATAACAATGATAATAATAATGATGATAATAATAAAAATGATGATAATAATAATAATGGTGATAATGATTATAAAGAAATTAATAATAATAATAGATAGCATTTGTACAGTGCAAATTCCCACTCAACAGCAAGCTCTGTGCGCTTCCCAACCTATGTAAGAGAAACTGGAGATATAGTGTAAATTTGAGGCGCGATGACAAAATAAGTTACTTCTCGCATTCAGTGAATGGTGATTATATTGATCAAAAATATACACAAAGGTCAAATTGGTAGATTTTCAAGTGATGAAGTTATCTTCAAATTTAACATGTCTTTTATCATTTCATACTAGAAAAGCTGCACCACAGACGTCAGTATTTTTAGGTCTACAAAATACAAAGAAGCCATTCCAAAGCGAAGTTTTAGTTTTAGTAAGGTTTTACGGCGCTCGCAACTGCATAAGGTCATATGAGCGCCATCCAAAGGGAAGGTACTTACAAAATTACCTCCACGAAGTTGAGATCAAAATCAAAATGACAATTTTTGTAAGTAAAGCTTATATAGTGTCTCCCCCGCTCAATATCAGTCGTAAGACGCAGTGTGCTATTATCAGCTATGAGGCTCGAAAGGCAAAAAAAGTGACTTTCCATGAAATTTTTGTTTTTTGGATCAATTGAAAGTTTGATGTTTTCTTCTTCATTTACGATAAAAAATAAACGACTATAATCCACTGATAAATTTCTAGTCTCTATCTCAATTCTAAGACCCCCAGTTCTATGGAAACATGTTGCTCAACTTCGAAGGCCAGTTTCTCCTTTTCGTGTTTCCTCACCTCGCACAATTAAAAGCTCTGTATATTCGTCAAATATGGTCGTATTTACTTCATTCTTGTTTTAAATTGTAGGAAAAAGGTGATAGTTTTTGGAAATATTGTTAACTCAGTTTTGAAATTTCCGTCATATGACTGATATTGACCGGCAGGGACACATAGCGTCTTGGAACTGATGTACTCTGACCACTAACCTGTCTTCACCAAGATTCCTTTCATGCCAATCGTCTGTGCCCCGTGAATGTCGTCGCTCACATCCTGTGGCAGAAAAAAGTTAAGTTTTATAATAATAAGAGTTTTACGGCACTAGCAATACAATTAGGTCACATAAGTGCCATAGATTACAGGTGTTACAAGAGAGTTACAAACACAAAAAAATAAAGAGGAGAGATATAATAAGGACGATAGATGTTTGATAGGAAAGAATTAGAAAGAAGGAGCAAACCACACCAGAGCACCCACCGTCTGCCCGCTATTTCCTCCCTATTGCCACATTATACATTACTGATGAAATGTGAGTGAACTCAATTTCCAACAGCAACTGGAAGAAAAAATTGCCTTTGGTTGAAGACCACAACATTTTTCTTGTCTTCAAAGGCACAAAAACAAACAAATAAACACACTCAAAACCAAATGTGAGGCAGCGTGGTGGAATCTGGCTCTCGTCAATTCTTGGGCATGTAGAGTTATTGGTATCATTTTAAAGCTTGTTCACCTGTTTGTATTTGGATGAAAAAAATATCCATTTATCTTGAATACAAGTGGAGATATTTGTGAATGAAGGAGGTGGGGGTCACCTGTTTTCAGAGGTAAAAGAAGTGAGAAAATGGCCGCCAAAGATTAGTTATATCCTTAGCTTACGAGTCCGTGTTAACTGAAAATTTACATTTTTGCGCCTTTAATCAACGTTTTAAAGAAAAATCCACACGGAAATGAGTTTTTTAATGGGCATGAAAGGTGTTGAGCCATAAAACAAAAATTTTATAAAAATTCACAAACCTGTGGAAAAATGCAAGTTTCTTCACTTTGATTATTTTGACGAGAGCCTGATTCCACCACGCTGCCTCACAAATTACCTTGCATGCGAAAAAGTATTACTGTAAAGTAAAGTAGCAAAGCATTATATCAGAGCCGCCTGTTTTGTGTGTTACTAGAGTAAAACATTGCGACCCTACGGTCACCCCAGATGTTGCACAATAGGTCATGCAGTTCATATTAGTTTTGTTTTAGTTTTGTTTTAGTAGAGCTTTTACGGCACTCACAACTGCATAAGGTCATATGAGCGCCAGAAGATTAGAGGTGTTACAAGAGAGTAACAAGCACAAAAAAGAAGAAGGGGAGATAACGACGATAGATGTTTGATAGGAAAGAAGGAGCAAATCACACCAGAGCACCCGCCAACCACCCACGTTTTAGTTTTAGTGAGGGTTTTACAGCATTTGCAATACAAATAGGTCATTCAAGTGGAGAAGGTTAGAAGTGTTGCCGGAGTGTAATATACGAAGAAAAGAGGGAGAAGAGCAGAGATAAGGACGATAGATGTTTGAATGATAGAAGAGAAGGAGCAAACCACACTAGAGTACCTGTAAACCACCCGAAGTCATGCAGTTCAAAACGAGATGGAGGGTTGGGGAGAGGGTGTGTGTGTGTGTGTGGGGGGGGGGGGCGAGTTTATCTTTACCCAAGCAGGTTACTCACATCTCCAATCATGACGCACTCCTCAGGCCGACAGTCGAGCCCGGCAATGGCCGACAGGAAGAAGTTCTCGCTGGGTTTCCCCACAACGTGGGCCGAGACGCCCGTGGCAAACTCCAGAGCACACACAAAGGGACCTGTTATTGTTCTTAGGTTTAGTAAGAATTTTACAGCACTTGCAACACAAAATAGGTATATAGGTATAAACAAAAAAATACAAATAATATATATTATTTGGGGCTTTTTAAAGTTTTTGTAAGAGTTTTACAGCACTTGCAACACAAATAGGTATAACAAAAATAGGTATAAACAAAATAAAACAAATAATATATATTATTTGGGTTTTTTAAAAGTTTTAGTACGAGTTTTACAGCACTTGCAACACAAATAAGTTGTATAAGAGCTGAAGATCAAGACTAGGAAGGAAGACTAGCTTTGGCATAAGGATTCATTTTTTTTAAAATTTGACGCAGATATACGGATGAAATTAAATATTCAACAAATTGCTACCCTAGAATTGTAAAGTTTTATGTGCTCACTACCTAGTTTTGAGTAATTTGACGTTGAAAATTTTGAGTTTTACTTTACATGTCAAGCTTTTTCAAATGCTTTGAATATCTCTATAACGACAGTGAATATTCTTACAATTTTGATAGAGCAGATAATACATTTGGTTTCTGACCTCACGGTATTAGTATTAGTAACTCAAAATGGCTAAAAAAAAACAACATCAGAAAGAACTATGTACTTCTAAGGTAGCCAAAATGATGAAAAAAATTTTGGAGAGATTAAACTAAAAATAAATCTCTCTGGCCTGAAAGTCTCTGGAATAAGAGACCTAACTAATCAGGTTTAGGCGTGATTGTGGTAAAATTCATCCCTGTACTGAAGACAGTCAACCACGGGAGGGAAGGGGACGGGCCAGAGAGTCAGCATTGCGGGTCAAGGGTCAACCCAGGGTCAAGTTAGCCCTGAGTCAAGGGTCAACCCAGGGTCCAGTTAGCCCTGAGTCAAGGGTCAAACCAGGGTCAAGTTAGCCCTGAGTCAAGGGTCAAACCTAGGGTCAAGGTCAGTCTGGCCTGTCCAAGGTAAGTTTGGGTCACGGGTCGACCTAGAGCAAAATCAGCCTGGTGGGTCAAGGGTCAACTGGTGTCAAGGGAAAACTGGAATCTGGGGTCAACCTCAAGGGTCAAAAGTCAACCAGCTGGGTCAAAGGTCAGCTCGGGTGGGGGGGGGGGTGTCAAGGAACAGTGCAGAGGGTCAACTAAACTCACCAGGTCCCAGAGCCAGGCCATCACTGCGTCTGTAGTACTTTGCCTTGTGGATGGCGATCAGCGATGCTCCGGACTGCAGCAATCTGGAACGTAGCATTAGTGGTAAGCAAAATGAGGGGCAACAAGGGTTTCTAACCAGAGGAGCAAAGGTAGACAGAAGCAACAGAGGGAAAGAACAGAAGTAGGATCACCCAGTGGCACCCTCCAACCACCCACACAGACAGACAGAAACAACAGAGGGGAAAGTAAAGAAGTAGGATCACCCAGTGGCACCCTCCAACCACCCACACAGACAGGAACAACAGAGGGAAAGAAAAATAAAGAAGTAGGACCAACCAGTGGCACCCTCCAACCACCCACGTCATGACTGCGACATAACCTACCTCATAGCCGTGTTCAGATCCTCGTAATTCATCCTGTCCGGAGCTAGGCCCACCACCACTGAGTTAGGGTCCTCTTGAGGGACGCCTGGAGATGAAAAGGGAGTGGGGGTGTTGGATGGGGCAGGGTGAGGTGGGGGG